GTTCTAGAGGCAAATGGATGAAAATAGAGGCAACGAGTTGTAAAGGAATGAAGAAGAACTAGGAAACATACATGAAAAAATTCAAGGACCAAATTGCACAATTGGGCCACAAAGCTAAAACCATGTGTATGCATGGACATACATTAAGCTAAAATCATTCTACCATGCGTATGCACGAGTTATACCATGCATACGCATGTCTATATGACTGTAAAAAATTTTCTTCCATTTTTCTTACTTTGACTCTTTATAGTATGATATTTTGCATCTTTTTAACCTATAAAGAGCCATCCAAAATGCATTTGAAAGCTATTATCACATACTCTATCATTGAAGTGATACCGAATAAGAGTTTCTAGAGAGAATTAACACAAAGAATTGAAGATTCAAAGCTCAAATCGAAGGAAATGCCCATGAAATTGTTTCTCAAGCTTCTACATCTATCTTTGAATTGGGTGATATCTTTTCTTAATTTCTTGTGTAATATAGATACAATTATGCTAGGCTAAACTTCTCTTGATGGATGATAAAACTTTTAAGTTATATTTTGAATTCAAGAGTTATCGTATTTTAGTTATTTCTTGTGTTTGTGATTAATTATGAATATTGTGTTATTTGATTGCTTATCAACCAATTAGATAACTTGTTTCTTATTTGTAGTGTTAGGAGACTCAAAACAGGCAGAACATTGCATACTTGACATGCAAGCATTAGGTATTAGAAAAAATATTTAGGGCATGTGCAATCCATAGTGATAATTATGTGATTGAATACTTTCTTTGCATATGAATTTAGACTAAGAATATAATCGAGTCGTGCTAAGAGCATCTCCAATAAGGGGAGGGGTCAAATATAATGTAAAGAATAGTGTTATACCAAATTTGATGTAACCAAATATAAGAATTTTCAATAATCCGATTTTGCTCTTCTTTCCACTTTACAAAAATTGTTCCTTCTATCTACATCTCTCTTTAATATTTTAGTATTAATAGATTTTAATTGATTTATAATTATTCTAATGTGATGATTAATTTTATTTAACATTTTTTAAAAATTTTAATCAATTAATAAATAATAACTATTTCAACAATAAATTAAAATTATTTATGAAAAAGTCAAAAGTTACAAATTTGATAATTAATAAATTAAGACTAGAACAACATAAATATATCAGAAACATAAATTATAGTACAATAAAACATTTAACTAAAACAATAATCTAGGACTTCGGAATGTCTTTTCTCGTTATATGATATTTTTCTTGTGTTCAATGTAATTTTTATAGTTTGTGGTATTATGTTTAATATTTTTTTTTCAATTTATTAATAAATGAAATAGTTTAGTTAATTAAACAAAATATCTAATTTAATGATATTTGTAATAATATAATTTGTAATTAAATAAATCGAAATAAAATTTGGTGTAGGCCATCAGAGATAGTCCAAGGATAGGGTCAATATATTTTGAAAATGAATATTAGATATTAATGGATTATCGATTTTCTTGAACATTTTGATAACAATAAGTTGCTTGAGTCAAGAATTGAAAATAGAAATTAATAGGTGGATTCTTAAATTCAATATATTCATCTCATCATTTGATAAAACCAAAATTTTTTTTTCATTATTCATAACTTAATTTAGGATAACCATAGACATCGCATCCTTTTTGTGTTTTCAACATTGAATTTGATAGAAACCGATAAACCATAGTTAGCAATTATTCCTTGTGTGAAGATAACTCAACTTATCAATTATATTACTTGTCAACGATATTGTATACTTGCAGATTTTGTCCGAACACAATCTTTGAGCCATTTGAGAGGATAGTTTATGGGTGGTTAAGTTGGTGTTGGAAATTAGCTAGTTAGGTATTTATTACGCGTACGTAAGTATTTGTGCAGAACACTTTTTAATAGGTGGAACCAAGGTAGAACCCTAAATTAGAAGTTTAATCCCAACCACTTGTCCCAATATAAGATATTATACTAATCATGGCCAAAAAACGAAAAGTTGCATATCTTTATAAGCGAAAGCTACCCTATAAAAGATCTCAATAAGAATACCGAATGAATAATTTGAAAATACAAAATCAAAAGAATTAAAAGTTTGTGCATAGAATAGAATACACAGCAAATATGAAAAAAAGCAAATGTATGAAATGGAAGACGTATTGAAAGCCTGATTAAGCATTGGACATTTACTTGGTAAGCTGGACTTTAAATGAGGGTTATTAATTTAGTTGAAATTTGGTGGTTTAGATAATCAAATATAGGGAGAATCATCTCAAGTTGAGATAGTAACTTCTATTGGTTAAACCTAACCAAACTTGAGCAGGGAAATGAATGATTGTTATGAATTCAACCATTAGAATAAATACATCTGGTGTTAAATTAATGAGCAGGTTTGGAGTATGCATCTTACGATAGAAAAGAAATAAGCCCCATTTGGCCCCCATTAAATTAGATTTTATTTTTCTCTATTCTATTTTCAATTACACAATCTTACATAAAATAATATTACACGTAAATTGAAAATTTTTCCTTTTTTTCAACCATACGTTCTCCAAAAGAAATACGATTCCACCCATTAAAATTTGAAATAATAGGGGGCCAAATGGGAGCTAAATGTCCATTTTAGGTAAAAAAAAAATAATCAACTTAAAATTTTGTGGTGATAGAATTAACTATAGACACACATCATTCAAGTATTGGATAAGTGGGAAATGGTTTCGATAACATATCTTAGAAGTCTTTTATGAATTGCTCTGGGAATTTTAAAACATGAGGCAATATGGAAAGCTATTAGCGAAGTTATTTTTATTTTTGTTTGTTTCTTAAATAGACAATTCTAGTCGAGACGAACAAATGTTGGAACTTAGAGTGTTTGATAAGTGTATACTTAAACTCATTCAAGCTTTTGAAAGTGGATGTTTGGAAGTCATTTTGATTGAATTGCTACTTAACTTTAGTTAAATTTTGATTATTGTATGAAAAAATTTGATGTTGGACGGAGGATGAAGAAATAGAGAAAAAATCGTTTGAAGAGGACTAAAGAAGAACAATTGTGAAAGTTCAGAGACTAAATTGCTTATCTTCAAAACTCAAGACAGATCAAGGTTGTATGATGGTGGATGATGTGAATCAAATTGGAAAAAATTGGAAGTTGTAAGGCTCATAGAGAAAATAAGATCAAGCTGATTGAGAAAAGGAACTTAACGACAAAATTGAACAAAGAGCAAATAAGGCATGCCTTGCAATCACAAGGGGCCTTCTATGCAATCGCAGGCAATGAAAATGGTTTAACATAACCCACAAAAAGAAAAAAAACATGCTATTGTAGTGATTATAACCATGTGATCACATGGCGACGAACGACAAAAAATTCTATTTCCTAATTCAATTCATACTCTCTACATGGGAAACAATTCGGACTCGTTCTAACCAAATTTTGATGACTAAAAAAAAGGGGTTATCATTCATTAGAGAGAGAACAAAAAGCTCGACACAAGAATACAAAATCTTATATGCATATTGAAGATCGTTGCTTGGATTTTACGCGAAGAGGAAGAATACGAGGATTCCTTGAGAATCATTGAAGAAATTCAAAAGTTCAAAATTATTTTTCTTTTTTCTTTCTATAATTAAAAGTTGGGTGATGTCTCAATATTCCATCTTTTGTTCTTATTAATTTATGACGCATGACTAGATTTTCTAGTCACTAGGATGGCGATGAACGATATGTAGTGATGTTTAATTTCAATTTCAAGACTTTGACAATCCTACTTGTTTAGCTTGAATGATTATTATTGTTTTAATACTTTCAATTAATTAATCCCTAATTGAATTGATCATGATTCTTATTTTGATCTAGAGGATGAATAAGGATTTTTGCATGTGATATTGATCAATTAGAGTCCTATAGGGAATAAAGATATACACATATGATTTGCATGATTTAATTATATGTTCTAGTGATTAGATGCATTCACACGTTCACAATCTTCACTGAGATATATAGGTTCACATGTGAGGATATGTCTATGATCGCTAGAGAGAGATAATTAAATGAAGTAGGTACATTGATCATCAAGTTCATAAATCCTTTTTAGTAGTCTAACAGATTTACACTTAGTGTCCGTTTGATTGGAGTGAATTCTATGAAAAATGTCACAATCAAGAAATTCGTTTTCTACTTTAACTGTTTGATAAGAAAGTGAAAATAGAGTTCGAATTCCAAAATACAAACACTTCAAGCATGTTTTTAACCAATTTCATGGAAAATACATTCCTATGATTTTGGTGATTTTTTCTTTTCCAACTTACATGAAATTATTTTGCCTTTTCCACATTTGGAATCAAACGGACCCTTAGTTATATATTAAATTAGTTATTATCAAAATTGTGCTATTCGATTAAAGTTAATATTAATTGAAATCAAATTAAGTACTTAGTTTTCATGGAAGCGATACTTTCTCACACCATATAATTTGACTACGATACCATACACTTGCGGGATTTAAGCGATCACTACCCATATGATGAGATAAGTCAAGTGGTATGACCAGAATAAAATCCTTCTACATAAGTTTCAACTGGTTATGGGATATGGAACTAGTGACAATACCAATTTGGAAAGGTAGAGAATGACACTAACAAAATATGGAAGTTCAAGATCAATTCATACATTTTGCAAAGGTTAGCAGGCCTGCAGCAACTTTCAATAATTAAAAAGAACAAAATAATATACTAATTTACTACAATTCGAGCAAGCCGGTCTCAAATCTTTTATTGCACAAACTGAAAACAAGAGAGTTACACTTGGAGCCTCAGAGGGTTCCAATTATTTGAGCATAATGACTATTAAGTTACAGCATTTATTTATTGCTCTTCTCAGGAGAGAATTAAGGCAGAAACTAAAGGAACATCAAGCATGCATCCATGCTAGCATTATTCAACAATATAATTCAGTAAGGAAGCAGTAAAATAGTAATTGTTGACTTTAAGCAACGCCGCTTCTTGGCTTTTTTGCAGGACCATGTCGTTCTTCTTCAGTTTCAACATCCTGTAGCTTCAATGGAAGTCTATTCCATGGATTCTTAGGATTTTCAAGGAAATTCATCCACCATACAGCTGAGGTTTTTGGGAATCTTGTCAAACGTCCATTCTCGTAGTCCACATAAAAATGCCAAATCTAGAATTGTAACCCTGGGCCCATTCAAAATTATCAGGCAATGATCATATGAAGTAACCCTTCACGCGCACATGATGGCTGAAAACAGAAGAAAATTAGTTACTTAATTTCAAAACTTACAATTTTTTTTTTCTAATTGAACTATTGTATATTCCAAAAAAAAAAGAAAAAGAAAAAATTGGTGACTTACTCCATTGCCTTTTTAAGGTATGCCAGATGGCTCCTGTGATACTTCATCCTTGTTTTATCAATACGAGCTTTTGTAACTGTTATGGCTTTATTGTTAACTTCATCCACCCCTACAAAAGATCATGGAGGATTTCAGTAAACCATTAAATTATCCGAAAAATTAGTATGTATTCTTGCTATAAATAAATAAACTAATAAATATGAGTATATATACCATTCTCTGTAATGAAAATCTCGGGATTATTATATCTTTCCTTTATATGAAGCATGAGATGGTAAATTCCTTCTGGAACTATGTACAACCATGACGAGCCACCCTGGTGTGAAGTAAAAAAGATTGTTATTAACATTAGAATATACGTAAGCATTGGAAATTATGTAACCAAAATATGTATTCCAAATCTATGACACGACAATGCATCGCCATAAATTGTTGATATGCCTACATTATTAGAATAATAAATTCCAATTTCTATTTTTGTTTTCCTCACGGAAGGGTAACGTTAATGACTCACCTGTTCACTAATTGGCTTCCCATTACGATGAGCTACAAAAGGATGAGAAGTAAATATGTTGCCTCATGTAGTGTCTCCTTTATGTCAAGATAAAAAAAATATAACTGAACTCAAGAAAGGGTCTTAATACTCACTATGATCTTCAACGTGCCGATCATTGTCATAATGTGGTCGTGAACAACGCTTTTTAGGTATATTTTCGGCATAATTAGACGTATAGTAATTTAGTCCCAAAAAGTCACATGAACCTTTCACTAGCTTCACCTCCTCTGGTGTAAATATGGGAAGACGTTCTCCTACATTTTTTCTCATGGATGGTGGATAATCTCCTGTTATTACTGTAAGTGTTATGCCCTAGATCCAATCGATTTAGGTTGTAAACGCTTTTAATATATTTAATGCATTTGATTTTGGCGA